TTCTGTGTGTGTCATTTTGAAGAGGGATCATGTCCCTTTGCATTGCCCACAGCACCTACAGTGACCGTGTCTTAATTTCTTTGCAACAATCACTTTATTTTGGGGAGGGACTGGCCTGGATTATCCTCATTTAGCCATGGGATGATCCAGAGTGCGCCTTTTGTCCTATCTCCCAAATGTGTACATTGACAGCAGCAGGAGCGGTGGAGGCAGTAGCTTTTCTGCATCCTATGTTGGTAGCCTCAGCAGTCTCTTGTCTTAAGCAGTTCTGCCATCAATTCCCCATGCCTGCTAACAGCTTCTGAGCATAACCCACAGTTGGAGGCTGTCTCTTTGAGACATAATACCATGTACAGTGTTCACTCTATTATGTGTTGATCCTTGACTTGTTAGTTTATGTGCCCAAAACACATATCCTCTGCTTGTTGTTTAGAAGCCATGCTCATAAGCTAGTATAGCCCCATTGTATGTTAGCAAAGATTAGGCAGAGAATGACATGCAGATGACCCGTGTACTGCCACACAAACTGGGCCAAATTCTGTGCTGATTTATACCCCAGTTAATTCAATGGGATTTCAGGGGCTATAAATCAACACAGAATTTGTCCTAAGAGGACAATTTGCCAAAGGAATTTGTCCTGGAGAGGTGAGGAAACCCTCCCCCCCCACCACACACACATCATAAACTGGAATATGACCCTATGTTTAGTACAGGTGTATGTCAAAGCATAAAATAGGTCAAAGTTCATTTTGTAATTGAAAATCTATATTTCAATATTTATCTAGCAGAATAATGATTAGTTTGTTTTTCAAGTGCTTCTGAGTGATTGGGGCTGAGGGTTGTGGGTAGGGTTTCAAGATCTTGCTCAGGCAAGTGGTTCTACTGAAGTCATCAGGGTAAGAGTAAGGGCTATTTGTGTGGGTACTGGTGGCAGGACTGAGTCTTTTTAATGTCCAAGGAAAATGAAATGTGGGGGATTTTTTTGGCAGTTCCAATTTGTTGGCTGAAACCAGAGAGAAATTAAGGATTCTGTGCATATTCCTCTGTCGGTTTTTACTAACGTAAAGTACATGGAATGTACACATATAATTAGTTTGAAAATAGGATAAATTTACATTTGTAATCATCATATATATGAAATCCCACTCTTTCCTCTGTCCACATCTTGGGCTCCCTAGAATTTGTATATCAGTCAGACCTCAAAGCTAGTGCAGGCTTACTAGGAGAAAGGTCTTTCTACTATATTATTTTGTTGCCAAATAAATTATAATGTTCAGATTAATCTAAATTTACTCTCTAAATATATTTTTCAATACATTGAAATGAAACTTACCAGCAAAGTCTAAAACTAACAGCAAAAAATCTGTATAAATGTATGTATTGTGAATTGGATTGCTTTTTATTTTACTTTCCCTTGGTTATGTCTTCAATAAACTACATTTTGGAATGTGAAATCCTAACCAAGGCTGCTCCTGCTCTCATTGAAATCTATGGGAGCGTTGCCATTTAATTAATTGGGAAGAGGTCCATGCCCTAGTATTACAGAGGTGTAGACTAAAGCCCACCACCCCCATCCTCAAGTTGCCTGCACTCATGTATTGTATTTCAGTGGTCACTTTGAAATAGAAAAAGTGATTATTCACACTACTTCTTACATATCAGTGTTTCCTGTGCTCATTGTCCTTCTAACAGAGAGGCTCTAATTAGGCAACAAAGACTAGTTTAACTCCAAAGCAGTTAAAGTACAGCTGATGCTTCAGAAGATCAAATGTTTTGAACTGCTGATTCACAAGTTTATTGTAGCCCAACTGGCAACTGACAAAAGGCCCAAACGTGCAAGCTGTGAGGCACTTTCTTTAAGGTGCTGGATGCCCTCAAATCACTTTGAAGTGAGGAGGCACTCCCTACCTGGCAGTGATGAGTCCAAATGCCTCTCTCCGGTGCAGATAGATCAGCTTATGACCTCTGAAGTCTACAATAATACATGCATCAGCGTGCAGTTATCTATACACATATAGATAATGGTATGGATACATGTGTGTCATTACAGACTGATGAGGGCTTGAAAATCTCAACTGAGTACAGCAAAATATAGATAGAGTGATTTTTGGAAATTTATGTTAATAAAATCCCATTGGAACTCTATAAAAAGAGTTTATTGTAGTTTTATTGTTTAATATCAATGATTTCAATGAGGTTTTCATAGCTGTATATAGAGAATAATTAATAGAATCTAATTTCTAAATTAGATTTAAAAGTACAAAGGTTACACTTGCTTAATTTTTGTGGAGCAAGCTATATTCTTATGTACTATACAAAAGAAAAATTCAGATTTTAATCAGTGTAGTATATAGAACATTCTTTACTTACTTTAACTGTATTTTAAACATTTCAGCCAAGATTTGCGCATGCAAATATGGGGTTTGTGTGTGCAGTTTTGTGAGAACAAATGTAGCCTCCATCCGGTGTTGTGCAGTCATATTGGTTGGGAACCCACTGA